AGGATGAGGTCTAACCAAGTCGGTGGGGCTTGTATAGGCAGTACTTCTTCATCCTCGATGCATACAGATGGTTTTGCTAGGTGCTCCACTAGAATTAACCTGTCCAAACTTTCCTGTGAAACTGTTACCAACCTTGCCAAGACATCTGCTCGCTAGTTCTTAGCCCTTGGGACATGTCTAATCTTAACTTGCATGAACTTTTTGGTCAATCCATGTACCTTTCTGAGGTAAAGGACCATTTTCTCGCCTTTAGCTTCATAAGTCTCCTCTATCTGTTTTACTACCAGTTAGGAATCACTACAGATCTCCAACTATTCTGCCTTCATTGAGTGAGCAAGATTGAGTCCAGCAATGACAACTTCATATTCTGCCTCGTTGTTTGAAGCCTTAAACCCAAATCTAAGGCCATATTTGACGTCTATTCCATCTGGAGAGGTCAGTATCAAGCCTGCACTGTTTCCTTGAGAGTTGGCAGCTCTATCTATAGAAAGCTTCCATGTAGGAGGTCAAGCACTAGCTACGTTGCTTCAGTAGGTGCTGGTGTTGTGAACTCCGCGATGAAATCTGCTAGAATTTGCCCTTTGATCGCGGTTCTAGATTTGAATTTGATGTCAAGCTCATTGAGTTCTATGCCCCACTTTGTCAGCCTTTTCGAAGACTCTAGTTTATGCTGCACTTGCTTCATTGGCTGTTTTGTTGGGACCTCGATAATGTGAGTCTGGAAACATGGTCTAAGTCTCCTGATTGTTGTTATAAACGCTAACGCAAGCTTTTCCATTTTTGGGTACCTCTCCTTTGCCCCCCTCAGAGCCCTGCTGTAGTAATAGACTAGTTGCTGAGACCTGTCTCGCTCCCTCACTAGTGCTACACTAGTTGAGAAATCTGAAGCAGTTAGATAGAGGGTTAGTACTTCCCCCTCCAAGGGGTTTACCAGAATGGGAGGGGAGCTCAGGTAGGCTTTCAAAGCTTTGAATGCTTCTTCACACCGGGTATCCCATTGAAACACCTTTTTTAGGACTTGAAAGAAGGGCTGACACTTGTCACTTGATCTGGAGACAAAACGACTCAAGGCAACTATTCTCCCGGTCAAGCGTTGGATCTCCCTTACACAAGACGGTGGTTGCATATCCAAGACTGCCTTAACCTTTTCTGGGTTAGCTTCGATTCCTCTACTGTTGACTATGACGCCCAAAAACTCCCCTGCAAACACTCTGAAAGCACATTTTGCAGGGTTGAGTTTCATCTTGTATTCCTTAAGGACCTGAAACGATTCTGCTAGATACGTAATGTGGAGCTCTGCCTTCAACGATTTTACCAACATATCGTCGATGTAGACTTCCATGGATGTTCCAATTTGCCTTTGGAACATTTGATTCACAAGACGTTGGTAGGTGGCTCCTGCGTTTTTCAACCCATAAGGCATGAACTGATAGCAGTATATTCCATACTCAGTCACAAAAGAGGTCTTCTTCTAGTCAGTTGGATCCATCCTGATCTGATTATAGCCTAAGAAGGCATCCATGAAGCTGAGGAGCTCATGTCCAACAGTGGCATCCACTATTAAGTCAATCGAGATAAGGAAAAATTGTCCTTGGGGCACGCCCAATTGAGATTAGTGAAGTCAATACAGAATCGGCACTTGTCATTGGTCTTCTTAACAAAAACCACATTGGCTAACCAAGCAGGGTAATCTACTTCCCTGATGACTTTGGCGTGGAGAAGCTTACTGACCTCCTCATTGATTGCCTTCTGACGTTCTAGGGCAAAACTTCTTTATTTTTTCTTAACTGGTTTGCAAGTGGGATTCACACTTAATTTGTGTGTGATAATTGAGGGGTCGATTCCTTCCATGTCTTATTATTTTTAGGCGAATACTCCCATGTTCTCCTTTAGAAATTGGATGAGATGGTCCTTTATTTCCCTACTTAGTTTTGACCCAACGTAAACAAGGTGTTCCTGCTCCTCATCAAGCTAAATGGGCCCTAGTTCCTCCGATAGCGTTGGTCTAATGTCCAGCTCGTCTCTTATGTCGAGCTCATCTAATTGGATACTTTCAACTTCTTTCTGCTTCATCAAGGTCATGTAGCACTCCCTTGCTACACGCTGGTCTCCTCAGACCATTCCAACTCCACTCTCTGTTGGAAACTTCATAACTAAGTGATAGGCAGAGAGGATTGCCCTTATTGCGTTGAGGGAAGGTCTTCCTAGTAGCATATTGTATGTTAAAAGCGCATTAACCATCAGGAATCTTACTGTAGTGGTGGCCTGGTAGGGGAGGATCTCCCATAGTGAGCACGAGTTGTATTGAGCCCTGGGGCAATACCCTCTCCCCTACAAATCCCAACAAGTGAGCATTGACTGGCTCCAACTTTTTCCTGCCTATGCCCATTTTGTCAAATGTAGAAGTGAATATGATATCTACAGAGCTCCCATTGTCAATTAGAACTCGGTGAATAGTTCGTTTAGCCACGAAAATCCCTACAACCAATGGGTCGTCATAGGGGTGTTGGTAGCCTTCTAAGTCTGAGTCTGAAAAGGTGATAGCTGTGTTGAGCCGAGGTGCCTTGGTCACGGTGTGCACTTCTAGTGCTTCACCAGCTCTGATTTTGCGCAGGTGAGCCTTCTTGTCTGAACTAGACTCTCAACCTTCTACGAATCCTCTAGATATTACTTTGATTTCCCCCAAGGGTTTCTGGTGTTGCACAGGAGTCTACTGCTGAGGCGGCAGAGGTGGTGGAGCTCGGTTCTGACCATCTTGAGCTACGTAGCAGCGCAACTATCCTCGCTAGATCAGTAACTCAATCTCTTTTTTCAATTGGATGCAATTATATGTGCGGTGACCATGATCTCTATGGTACTCACAGTACTTCATGATATCTTTTTTTGCTAAGTCTATTTTCATTCGGGGTGGCCACCTTAGGAATTTCTCGTTTTGCACCTCATACAAGATCTGTGATATCGTTGCAGTGAGAGAAGGGAGCTGCCGTGGTGTGTATCTCAGTTGTAACTCTGGCTATGGCGAATCTAGGCGATCTCTGACGTCCCTCCTTCTTTTGGGGGAGTGATCTCTATCTTTCCTTAGAGACCTTTCTCATCTTCTTTCTCTTTTGGGACTTCGGCTCCTTTTCTTCTCTTCCTTTCCTTTATCTTTTTGCGTGGATGAGCTCCTTACCTTTGAGGGAAGAGCTTCCTCACCATTTATGTACTTCTCGCCCTTGGCCAACACCTCGGTCATGCTTGCTTGAGGGTTCTTCAAAATAGAGAACGTCAGGTCTTTAGATTGCATGCCTAAACTAGCTATGAATGCAGTAATGGCGAACTTCTCGTCTGGGACATCCACTTTCAATGACTCAGAATTGAACCTCTAGACATAGGACCTGAAGTTCTCTTGGGATCCCTGCTTTCACGTTTAATAAGTGGTAGCTTGGCTTTCTGTATATCCGAGCTCCTGTGAAGTGAGATACGAAGGATATAGAAAGCTCTTCAAAGAAGGAGATAGAAGCTGGGGGGAAGCCTATTGAACTATGCTAGGGCTGAGCCTTTTAACGTGATGGCAAAGGCTCTGCAATGCACTAGGTCCTGGTATACATGGAGCTCCATCTGATTCTTATAAGTATTGAGGTGGTCCACGAGATCATTCGTCCCATCAAAAACCTCTATCTTGTGGCATTCTGAATTTTGGAGAGGGGAAAATGCAACACGCCGGTAATGAATGGGGATTAAGTCTGTTGCACCAGGGGGGCATCCATTGTAACTGGAGCCTGTTTTTCACAACTTCCTTCATATGGCTGAGTTCTTACTAGATGTCCTTGAAGCGCTGCTCCCAGTACTATTCTCTTCTCCCCCGCTGGTAAGGGAAGAAATCGTTCCTCTCGCCCCCATCATTCTGACTCTGCACTTCTTTATTGTGTTCATTCCTAGGGGGGTAGATGAGGAACCTGCCCCAATGTTTGACTATTTTCCCCTCCTTCATTAACTTCTCTAAGGAGATCGAGGTGTTGTTACTCTCTATGAGGGGGGTTATTCTGGCCTTCTTAGGCGGGGGTCGGGCCTCCTAAGGGCGTTGCAAGAGTTTCAAGAGTTCTTCATTCTGTTGTAGCAGACGTTGATTAACTAGGCGTAGGGCCTCCAACTCGTTGTTTATGGGGAGATTTGTCTCTGGGACATTCTCGGGACTGTCTGCCGTTGGTAGCTTCCTGTTGGTCTTGTATTCGTGGGAGATTTGTTTGGCTTCTGCTCATGTTGCGAGTTGAGACCATCAGTTACTGAAAGATCAGTGTATTTATAACAGGAACAGTTGTCTTCCACAGACAGTACCAAACTGACGACGTGAATTCACGTGGATGAGCAAGGGGGAATGAATTGTGCTTGATGACTTAGAATTGAGCTACTAGGCTTGTGAGAAACGTGTTAAAATTATTGGAGGATTGGGAGAGATTGAACAATAAAATTATAATAGTTCATCGACTTTGGAGTTCGATTAGTTCACTTTTCAATAGAGATTCTTACTCCTCTTATTTTAGTATCGGGGATGCAATTTACAATCGACCTCTCATACCACTAGGGTTATTATTCTTCTTCTTCCCTTACTGAAGGCATCATATAGTATTTATAGAATAGCTCTTAGTCCTGTTAAATTTGTACCGAGATCCTTACTATTTATGCGGAGAATTATCCTTGATTTTTGGATCAGATCTTAACTGATTGGGGGACTATGTGCCTTGAATAGGATTCTTTGCCGCCGCTAATATCCTGCTGTTTTCTCTGCTAATGCCCAACCGTTCTCTCATTTTTCCGTTATTGTCTCGCTCAAAGCTCTGAGCCTCTTGTCCGACCTCTTTGTTTGAGCTCATATTATATTTTGAAGTTTTTCTGGATATCATCGAAAAGAATAAAGCATGACCGAATTTCACGAAATTTGAATTTGAGAGGATCCAAATCCGGTGAAATCCACCACCTCAATCATGCTGTTTCGAAGGCTGATAACGAGGAGAAGTTCCATGAAGATCGTGGCATTGCCGTTATATACGATTGAGACTAAGAATTTCGGCACCTCTACCACCAGAAGGAAACATTACGATTCAATCCCAAAGGAGAGGGTGGACTGCGTGGTTGTAGGGGCAGGCGTGGTGGGGTTAGCAGTTGCCAGAGAACTTGCCTCCGAATACCACAGAGATGTTTTGGTCATTGAATCTGCTCCCACTTTCGGCACTGGCACCAGCTCTCGTAACAGTGAAGTCATACATGCAGGCATCTACTACCCTCCCTATTCTCTCAAGGTCTCTCTCTTAGTCCCTTTGTCGATGCACTTACATGATGCAAACCTGTATTTTTGTGTAGCTACAATCATGTATAGTATGCTTGTCTAGTGGTTACTGCGTAATTTTTTGAAGTTATGTAGAGTTAAATATCAAATGGAAAGTACTTTCCGGAAAAGAATATCAAGTGGAAACCAGAGTTTTGATGTCTCTCCCTTGTGATTGTTGCTTCTAAGTTCTTTTTCCTGAACTTTTCTGCATTCACTGTTTGCTTTTCTGAATTTTTGGAGCCACCATATCAACGCCCATTTCTCAACAATTGAGTTCTTGTGACAGTCATTTCGTGTGGAAGCAAAAGTTAAAACTGTGAACGTAAGAATAGGGGGATTCTTTCTGCTAGACAGCTCTATTGTTCATGTGTTATTTTTCTGTTGCAGAAAACCACCTGTTCAAAATAAGCCCTTGTACTATGGGGTAGGATACATGACTGGAATCATAAATTATTGCATACCTACGCATGAATTTGGGTAGAGAGATTGTATCTCGCCTCGAAAGACTAGGGTCAGTTTCCGCCCTTTGCTTATTGATATTCAGTATGATGCCTCTAACATAGTATCAAAGCTGGACTTTGGATGGTCAGTGGGCAAAGGCTTTCACCCATTTGAATTCCCCACACTCCTTAAAAATGCAAGAAGAAAAAATTGTTTCTACTATGCTTATCATAGCAGTGATGTCTCTATTGTTCTGATAAAATAATATACATTTCATTTGAATGGCGAGCATAGCAAAACTGGCAGATCAATGTCCATGTATATCAAAGAACTCCGAAAACTTTTTTTGGGATATATAATTTTGTATGAATTATGGAGGTTGAACGTGTTGATTGGGGTGATCCTACAATTGGTTTGCATAGTCTAGCCACCTTTGGTAAATGGTGCTAAGGTTGCTAGATTTGTAGCTCTGATGTATGCATTTGTCTTACGGGCTGTTTGGGTATCTCCAGGAGTGATTTAAGGCCAAGTCCCACCTTATGGTGCAGAGAACCATTTCTTTTCCTCACAGGGTTGATTTAATCTATCAATATATGGACTTACTGAATACTAGCTGCTGAAAATAGATCAATCTTGCCCGCAACAACTGGCCTAGTTCTTGGGTTTCCCAGATAGCCACTTGATGTTCAGACAATTATGCAAAACATTTTTTTTCTATTGTAGCCATTTGATTGCTAAGAGATCATAAAAATAGCTCCAAGCTTTGCTATTTCTCCTCACTTTTCTCATTTGTGTTTTTCTTATCAAGTTACGTGGAACTTATGTAAGATCTGTCTCACTGGAAAAAATCCATCTATTAGTGCACAAGGTACCTGTATACTAATTGTGAAAAACATGCCTTCTGAATGCCCTATTACACTTTGTTTCTAGGACAGGTTTTGATGGGTTATTTGATTTTGCGTTATTTTTGCAGGCACTATTTTGTGTTAGAGGAAGAGAATTGCTATACAAGTATTGTTTAGAACATGAAATTCCTCATGAACAGATTGGAAAGATCATAGTTGCTACTGGGTCTTCAGAGATTCCAAAGTTAAAAGGTCTCATGAATTGTGGGATTGAAAATGGGGTTGTTGGGTTGAGGATGATGGAGGATCATGAAGCCATGAGATTGGAGCCAGAATTGACATGTGTGAAAGCTTTATTATCTCCTGCTTCCGGAATAGTTGATACCCATTCACTGATGCTTTCGTTCATTGTATGATCTTTTATCTTCTTGCTTCAATATTAGTTAGATAGATTAACTAACACATAATCAAAACCAACGATCAAAGTTTTGTTCCGAAAATGGTAGAAACAATCGAAACTTTTCCATTTCTAAGAAGATTGAAACAAATTGGTTATTGAATCGAAATTTCAATATTTCAAGGTGTTTCAGAATGTTTTGTAGTTTTTCAAGCTCTTTCGACATGTTTCCACTACTGTTTCAAAATGTTTTTAGGTGTTTCAAGCTATTTTGTTATATCTTCACCAGGGGTTTCAGAATGTTTTGGAAAATTTGAGAACAAAAATGCTAATAAAGTGGGTTTTGAAAATTTTTAAGGTTTTGAGAACAAAAAATTTAAAGATTCAAACCAAACACAACCATAAATTTTGATTCATTTCTATTATGTTTCCGAAACGTTTCCATTTTCTAAGTGATTGGAACAATGCTCTGAAATAAAATTTTGATCAGAACTTCATCAGATAGGTAGGAACAATGCTCTGAAACAAAATTTTTATCAGAACTTCATCAAATAGGTATTTTCACCTATCTAATCTAGATAACTGTTGTCTTATGCTTTCTATTTTACCACTTCTATTTGTATGTGTGTGTGTGTGTGTGAGAGAGAGAGAGAGAGAGAGAGAGAGAGAGAGAGAGAGAGAGAGAGAGAGAGAGAGAGAGGTGTTTGTGTGTATTTGACCAGGTTTATCACTGCAATGTACTTAGGGGGAAGCCGAAAGTCATGGAACACTTTTCTCTTTCAACAGTACGGTAATTGGTGGCCATCTTGAAGGAACTCATATTTGCCTTCATATTTCTGAGGGCAAGGCTCTTCAAAATTGGGATGGGATGTCTCTTTTGCGTCCAGATTTTGAACTTATACCTAAGATTGTAGTTAACTCTGCAGGGTTGAGTGCCCCAGTCCTTGCAAAGAGATTCAATGGCCTAGCTGCTGGAGTCATTCCTGCTTCATATTATGCACGTGGTTGCTACTTCACCTTATCAAAGACTAAAATTCCTCCTTTTAAACATTTGATTTATCCTATACCTGAGGACGGTGGTCTTGGAGTGCATGTTACTCTTGATTTAAATGGCCAAGTCAAATTTGGCCCTGATGTTGAATGGATCGGTGGCATAGATTGTATTTCAAGCTTCTTGAACAGGTAATCTTACACAGTTTTAATTTCTTAGAATTTAAATAGCCTTTTATATGGTCAAGTTGTAGGATCCCTTTTTCACCTTAGATGTACAAGTGGCGTAACCAGTTGTATGCTGAGTGAATCTCTTCAAGTTTGTCCAGCTCAATTTTCAATATGATGGCATGAATTCTCAACCATTGTTATCTTTACCAAGAAAACTGGGAACTGGAGTTCACGACCAAGGACCACACTTGTATGCAACAGTCTCATTAGTGTACGTGACCACCCCAGAAAAATGGGTGCGACATATGTAGGTTAATGGTCAAACGCAGGGTACATGCACACGTGCTCATAAGTTGAAATGGATGGGCATTTCCGCATGGTGTGTGGTTGCATTCACGCTCGATGATAATCCCAAGCACTCCAGAATCAACACTGGATTGATTGGGATCTTATTTTTCTGTGAAAATGTTCAGCTAAGGAATGTACTTATGTTCCTTGATGTTTACTATAAGTTTAAATGTCTACATTAGATGTATCTGGGCAGTAGTAGTTCCAGGCTTCTAAAATTATATGTTCTTTGACCTGCTTTACAGGTGGGACTTCATTGCGTTTTGAATGATTTGCATTTGAGAATTGTGTCTGAGACAATTATTGGTCTCTACCTTATTCTCTATATGGGGTGCCACACCATTATTCTGCAAAACAGATAATGAAAAACGAAATGCTCTTTGCTAAAAATCTGGATTAGATAATGGCATATGACTAATGTTTGTGTCTGATTAAAAAGATGGACTTGATATGACCCAAGCCTCAAAAGTTCAAGGATAAAATATCATATAACATTTCGACCAACATCTAGACCACCCTGTCAAAATTCTAGATAACATGGCTTGAGTTGAGATAACAGTTTTGTCCAACAGGGAGAATAGCTATGATGAGAAGGGGATAGTACACACCAGGAATTAATTCACTTACGGTTTTATCGGTGTTGACCTACTGATGAAGACTTAAAAGCTCATACTCATTAAAAAGAGATCATGGTGAGTGCAATCCAAATGAGATACTACTTAGATATTCAGTTAAATATCTTTGATAAAAAATCTTTTAGCTAAGGACAATGGATCCTATGAAGAAAATCATGGTTGTGTGACTCGTGTATAGTTCAGCCATAAATTTTCTGCGGATGCAGGTAACTTTTTGAAGGTGCGACATGACTCAAATTTTAAAGTTAGGTTGGGATGAAGTATGAAAGGCCTCTGTCTTTTGTATGAGCCATTTAGGTCAACTTTTTTTAGTATTTTCGATTTAGCAGTGATCCAAGTGCTTGAAATGATTTTGCTGGGTTTTGATATGAAACCAATCGATTCAACTCGTGGCTGGTGCAGTGGTGCTGTCTATTTGTAAACTAACCAACTATAGGTCGTTGCAAGCTAAAATTAGGAATTTGCCTCCACCTGTTTAACTGTTAAGCTAGGGAAGGACTTCTGTGTAATCTCAATCATTTCCTTAGTCATATATTTTAAAGCAGTTTTCTGTACTTTCTTTTCGATATGAATTCGTAATCTCGTGTTGTACTTGGATGTCCCGTGAAATCAAATATTTTTATATAGTTCTTAGTGGAATTTTAAAGGTCTAATATCCTTTATGATGAAACCACTAAGGAACAAAAATTTAGTTATTGGTGAAGCTCAAGTAATCATCAAGGACAGTGATGCAACACATGTTTAATTTCTTGGATACAACACCATAAGAACAGTCCGAGTTATTTATAGAAGATGGGCTTCTTTCCACTGCCATTGAAGAGAATGGAAATCTTCACATATATAAGATGTCCGCACTGTTAGAGTATTCTAGTATATTAGTTTAGGTAGTTTAATTGTTTACTCGATTTTATGTTGCCTTGCTATATAAGGGCCTTTATTGTCTACCTTAGGATAATTTTCTGATTTCTCATAATTGTCTGCTGTAATGATATTCTCTTTTCTCTCTTCTCTCTCTCTCTGCTATTGATCAAAGTGAGTGCCCACGTCTTTCCGCCTGAGTGTTTTAGTAATGGAGATCTACATACAATGTAAATGAGCAATGCATTGATTTCTATATTTTCTTTACTTTTTTCTAAACGTTAGTTTCTTGTTCTGGCATTGCTTTTATAATGTGAGATGCTTAAATCTTGTTCAGAAAAATGTGAGCCAGTTAGCAGAGATTTATTCAGTGATCTTATTTCAGGTTTGATTATTCTGTATGTGCCGATCGTGCAATGCACTTTTACCCACAAATAAGAAAGTACTACCCTGGTCTAAAGGATGGATCTCTGGAGCCTGCTTATGCTGGCATCCGACCCAAACTTTCGGGTCCCAAACAGGATTCGGTTGATTTTGTGATACAGGTAATCTCATCCCCACTACCTATATGTGAATTCATATTCCGTATAATGCCAGCCTAATTCCTCAAGTTTATATTATTTGGCCCACCACTTTTGCCATGCTTCTCTTTTTATATGCTTCATTTGAGAAAGTTCAAAATGGTAGATCTGCTATTGTATAATCATGTCCAACATCATAAAATAGGTCTCCGTTATTACCAGTCTAATAAATTTGATCATCTTACGGACATTACCATGGCTTGGGTGTTGCTTGTTGATTAGAAAATAATATGATTTCAAGTTGCTTAATGAGCGTAGACACCTCTAAACAGAAGCAATGCCCTTGTCTTTTTATTTTTGTATAGATAAAAAGGTTCAAGGGGGCAACTGGGGTGGAACCCTTGCCTGGGTATTACCATAGCAGCATGTATCCACAAAGGAAGCCCACCAGCAAGGCCTAGATAGCGGAAACTATAAACGCTCTCAAAGGGTCGATTTGAGTCATAGCCTAACCCCTGCATCACTGAGCTCCCAATGGGAGTAGTGAGAGTTCCCATGAATCGAACCTCACTTGTTAACCTCATGAGAGTCATGGAGGACCCTAAGCGCGGCACTATAAGCCACTGGACCCCTAGCCCAGTGGTGAAGCCATGCCCTTGTCGAACATTGACATTTGTTGGACACTCAAAACCTAATAAGTACGGATACGGACACGGGTGTCGTATTCGATACAATACGGACACAGAGATACGACAAAAATCTCAAAATATAGGACACGGATACAGCGAGGATACGATTAATTAAAATAATGATATATATTTTTATATGTATAAAACATTAATAATAACTAATAAGACCTAGCAAACATTGATTTTTTTGTTATAATTGAAATAGTTCAAAGATTCAAAATACACATCCACCATTTCCTTAGAGTGGATCCACAACATAGGAGTAACAAAAAAAAAAAAAAAAAANTCAAATAAAAATAAAAAGTTTCATAAACTAAAATGACACAACCAATACGATAAGGGAATAATATTTTATTGTTCTTGATGTTATTATGAATATTTTAACAGGACGGCAGCTCCATCAACCCATTATTTATATATAGATACTATTTGTTTATTTATTTATAATTAAATTATTTTGGACATGATGACCAAAACTCGTACTAAGATAATAGACTTAATTAGAACTACGTGTATACTTTCATGTGCAATGAACATGGTATCCCATTCTATTCACAAAAAAAAAAAAAAAAAAAGAACATGGTGGATGTTGTAGGAGTAACAAAAAAAAAAAAGACATAGGTAAACAATAACAAAAAAAAAGAAAAGAAAAAGATCGTGGTGGATGCTAGTAGTAACAAAAAGAAAAAGAAAAGGAAAATAGTGTATACACAACACAACGGGCGCAAGCAACAGTAGATCTGGAGTGGATACACAACAGAACATGCAACAACAGATCTGGAGTGGATACACAACACAAAAGGTAGCAGCAGCAAATCTAGGGCTTCGAATCAAGGGGCTTCGTAGTCACAGGTATGGTTTTTCCTCCTTTCTTCTCCTCGTTGCCGAAGCAGATTTGGTGGTGCCTTCGTTCGACTTTTCACTTTCTCCGTCTCGATTTTGGAGTGGGGTATGGGAACGACCACCGAAGGCTGAAATTCCCCCTTTTTTTCTCTTTCTAGCCCTAACATTGGGCGTCGTTTCTTCTTCTTTTCTTTTTTTCTTTTCAGTCCCTCAAATTTTTAAAATTACAGATGAAATCCCATCGTATCTCTCCTGTATATTCACGTATCTCAGGTAAATATCTGGGCCGTATCCAATTGCAAAAAATTCTCTTATCTTGTTCAGGACACTTCTAGAAGTGTCGGTCACGTGTCCGACGTTGCCACGATGGCCTTCTGGCGAGTATTAGGGGTGCAACTTGGGCGGGCTAATCCGATTTCAACTTGAGCCCAACCCAAAAAAATTAGGGCTTAGGTTAGGGTTTTTTAATATTTGGATTGGGCTTGGGTCAAAACACCCCAACCCGAATATTAAAATCGGGGTGAACCCAATTTATTAATGGGTCTTTGGTCCAATGGTATTCCTTGTCTTGTAAATGTTTTACTTTATTGAGATCAAGGGTTCAAGTACCCCTTCCCCTTTTCCCTCCCCCCAAAAAAAAAAAAATCGGGTTGAACCCGATTTAATATTCGGGTTCAACCCGAATATTCATAATCATATAAATACATTTTTAAGTCTAGGATTAATCTGTTTTGAAGTCTTCATTGTGCGCCTCCCTCACTCACTATTTAAGTAGTGAACTCTATGTTTGTACAAAGATTTTGGTTGTGTTTATTTGTGTTGTGTATGGTTATAGTTGTATTATCTCAAACATTGAGTTCTTAATATTATGGTTTTTATGTTAAAAATTTGATTGAAGTTTTTGGTTGTTAATTTAGGTGAATATTATGCAATATATGTATCAGGTTTAAAACAACAAGTTTATTTTAGGCTCAATCTGAATTGAACCCGTAAAATAGCTCGAAATTATTAATCCGAATTCAACCCGAGTCCGTTCGAATTAAACTCGAGTAGTGTTCGGGTTGAGTCCCTCAACCTGAGGTAGGGTTAGGGTTGAAGATTATATACCTAGGATTGGATTAGAGTTGATTGTTCAACCCGCCCAATCCGCCCGAGTTGCACTCTTAGCGAGTATCCGTGCTTCCTAGCTCACCACATATAACCACTAGGCGTATCCTTATTAAAAAAGCAAAATTCATGATTTTGGTCCAAAGGAAAATGTTCTGAGTAGCTTTGTTAGAATTTTTTATTTATTGCTGTTATAATCTAGTTGGCTAATATTTATCCTATTAGCAAAGGATCTAAATATTGTGTCGATATGTCCGAAATGTTTTGGATTTTCAACATACCGACACGAAACAAGGGCTGAAATTAAAAAAATTTCAGAGTTTCGAGCGAATAGTCAATGTTTCAACTGTTTCGGTCAATGTTCGGTCGAAACATTAAGATGATTCCACAGTAGATTCAAGCTAAAAAAGAGGAGAGATTCTTCCAGTTGTCCTCCTCTTCTCAGCACAACAACAAAAAACCAATAAAAGAAGGGAGAGAGGGAGAGAGAGCTGCTTACAAGAGGTCCTTGAGTCCAAAATATGAGCAAATCCAAGTCAAACGCCACTCCTATAGATAAAAAAATCCAGCCTCCTCCACTCCCTGAGTCCAAATCTGAGCAGGTAAGTACATTTTTTTTTCTGGCCTTTCCTTGCCCTAGCTGTTTGTCTATTCCCTCCTCCTCCTTATCTTGCCCTCTCTCTTTAAAGCACCAATTATTCTCTCTCTTTCTTCATTGAGAACAGATGTGTGTTTTGTTTTTAAACCATCACCCCCCATCGTTTTATTTTTTTATCAGACCACCCCCTTCTTTATTTCTTTTATTAAAATTTAATCCCTCCTTTTTGTTTCTTTTATTCTTTATACTATGGTTATTTACTAAATTGTTATATTAACAATATATCTTATTTATTAAATAATTGCAATTAATTCTATGGTATTTTAAATATTTGAAATTAAGTATTTGAGTGTATAAAAATTATTTATTCCGTGATTTTAATATTGTTAAGTATGAAGAATTAACACAATATTAGAGAGAAACAGAGAGAGATTAAAAACTTAACATAGCTCTCATACATCACTTGTATTATAGTTAACTCACAATAATAAGAATTACACATATACCCTCTTACTATTAACAATTTACACATACTACTCTAATATTCTTAACACTCCCCCTCAAGCTGGACTATATATATCATATAATCCAAGTTTGGAACAAATCGTTGTAGGACTTATACGACTCAATGCTTTAGTAAACATATCTACAAACTGATCTTCAGATTTTATAAATGGAGTTGTAATCTCCCCAGCTACCATCTTGTTTCGAATAAAGTGACGATCAACCTCAATATGTTTGGTTCTCTCTTGAAACACCAGATTGACAGCGATATGGATTGCTACCTGGTTGTCACAAAACAACTGTAAAGGAAGTTAAATTGGAAACCTAATTTCCTGGAGGAAGTGTAGTAGCCAAGTCAACTCACTCGTCGTATGTGCCATTGTCCTATACTCAGCCTCAGCACTAGATCTTGCTACCACGGATTGTTTTTTACTTTTTCATGAGACGTTACCTCCTAAGAAAGTATAATAACCAGTGGTTGATCTCCGATCAGCAGGAGAGCCACCCCAATCAGCATCTGTGAAATCTTTCACTCTAAGGTATCCATTAGCTCGATATAATAGTCCAAGTCCAAGAGCACGTTTGAGATATCGTAGAATACGAGTAAGCGCCTCCCAATGTGGTACTCTAGGATACCCCATGAACTGACTTATTATACTGACTGCATAAGAGATATCTAGTCGAGTAGTAGTGAGATAATTGAGCTTCCCAACCAACCTGCGATACCGACCCGGATTCTCAAATAGTGTACCATCATCCATCAAAAGTTCTTGATTCGGATCTATAGGAACATCAACAGGTTTGTCACCCAGCAAACCTACTTCTTTTGGCATGTCAAGTACATATTTCTTTTGAGATAAACAAATACCCTATTTAGATCGACTACCTCAATACCCAAAAAATACTTGAGTTTTTCAAATCCTTAGTATGAAATCGATTCTGCAATAATATTTTTAACTTGACAATCCTCTCAGAATTATTTTCAGTAATCACAATATCATCTACATAGACCACGAATAGAACATATCCAGCATCTGTCTGTCTATGAAACACAGAATGATCTGTCTGACATCGAAGAAGACTAAATTCTAAAACTGCATCTGAAAACTTACTAAACCACGCATTCGGTGACTGCTTCAACCATATAAAGATTTCTTTAACTGACATACTCCCCTTGAGCAGTAAACTCAGGTGGCTGCTCCATGTATACCTTTTCAACCAAATCACCAAATAGGAAGGCATTCTTGACGTCTAATAGTATATACCCAACGACAACTAACAGTTCGTTTACCAGGAGATAAAGGAACGAGATCCCAAGTCTCATTATGATGTAAGACATCTATCTTCTCCTCCATAGCTTTCCTCCAACTCGAATCAGATAATGCATTCTGTAAATGCTTAGGAATAGATATAGTAGATAATTGAAAAGTAAAACAAGAGCAGATATGAAACAAGGCATCATATGAAACAAAATGAGCAATGGGATGATTAGTAACACACGAACGAGTATCTTTTCGAGGAGCAATAGGTAAAAAGTCTAA